TTCATAACTTGTCATATTTTTATGAAGTCAACATCAGTTAAATATACAAGATTAAATGTAAGCACAATTTTCATGTCTTAATCTGCACATGTCTTGTACTTCACCGGTAATATATGATTTTCATGTAAAATAAAATGTTTTGCATAATTAAGTAACCTGACTTTGTTTTATCAACATTCAAAGGTGAATTCCTCTATGGGGAATGATATTTGGTCTTAATGGCAGAGTGATCCGGAAAACCATTGTTCTATGAGGAGAATGTTAACATTTCATTCAAAATATTTTGTACTGATTTCACAATAATAATATTAGTGATATATCTTAAACTAGGTTTCACCGAGATTATATATTTACATTATTATGAGAAATTCTGGTTGTGTACAGAAGTTAAGTTGTAATAAAACTTGGAGGGTTGAAGTAAAGTTTTTTCCTACAGTTCAAGCCTTTAATTATAAGACTTTGCAGAGACTATTTGGAGGGTCTCGGCTCAAGTCCAAAAAGATAATAGGTGAATGGAGGGGAGGAGAACATGACCATTTGGTCATAACTCAGTAAAAAGAGGAAAAGGGAGTCCTTAAAAGAGTAACATTGCTAAATCTATTATATTTAAATCTAGTACACTATATGTAATGCATCGTTGATAAAATAGGTGTAATGATCTGTGTTTCTTGTTTTGGACTTCATGTTGTATATATATATATTTTTTTTGAAGAATTTGTATCAGTTTTTGCCACAAATTCTCAAATAAATCTGAATAAATTTTCTTAATTATTTCCATCGACTTCAATTAAAAACGTTGAATGAATATTTGAAGTTGCAGATACCTAAAAAACACCCCCTTCCCAAGAAAAGGACATAAGGCGCCATCTCTTGTTCATTATCAACACTATTTGAGATATATATTTTTCTGTGACACATAATAAACACCGAGGAAAAAGAACATATTTTAATCTTAAGATTTCCGTCTGGGCTAAAATCCAATGCATTCTTCATATGATAGGACAGATATGTGTGTCTTGTGAACGATTTTTGCACTAATTTCTAAGTTAAAATAGGTTTAGATCATCTTGGTTTGACAAATTTATTAAAATCAAATAAAATTATCCAAATATCTAGTTGAGATGGAAAACGGCCATAAGTTGTGAGGTGAGATCGCCTTGCCATTATGAGTTCGACTGGCGGGCTTTGAAAGTTCAACAAGTACAGTGCCTTGCAAAATTTTTCACCCCCTGTGCTGGTAATAAATTTTAGGTATTTTATTATGAAAGACATAACTTAAATGACCAGAAACATTTGTTATATTAAACTCAAGCCAGTTTCTAAAGATTACAAGAAATAAAAAGTGCATTGTTACCCAATTTAGTGATATAACACAAAAAAAATCTTAAACACATATTGCAAAAGTCTTCACCCTCTCCTCCTCAGCTTTTACCATCGTTGATTTAACATTACGTCACTACCCTGTTAAAGTAAATACAAGTGGCTATATACAACTCTGTCAAAGACAAAAGTATTGTTGCGTCAGCGAGGTCACGTGACTAGTATCACGCCACGTCCTTCTCGATCCTTCATGAATTATCGGGAAACTACTGGATTGGGGGTAAGCTGATATATATATATAAGACGGTCACAACGTGACGGAAGAAGGTAATGTGTAACTGAACTGAGTATTGTCGAGCACGAGAGACGTTCTAGCGTTTGTTATAGAGCGACTGTTGAAATTATGTGTATCGGTGAAGTTGTATTCGGAAAGAATAAACCAGTTTTATTTAAGAAAGGACTTGTGTCGCTAAAGTTTAGTCGGAAATAATTTGCGGAAAATTAACTAACGATTGGAGGCGTAACAGTATATTATACATCCGTGTGAAAAAATAATTTAGGTCATATAGAGCCACCAGCATCGATTTAAGTTAAAATTTGGTTTACTCTTACATATTGAGGATGATGAGAAAAGAACTCTCTACTGACCTAAGGGAAAAGATTGTCCAGAAGCATAATTACGGAGAAGGCTATAAGTCAATTTCAAAGGTTCTCAATTTGCCATTAAGTAATGTAAAATCGGTTGTGAAGAAATGGAAAGTGTGTCACACTACCTCAACCTTCCCAAGATCAGGTCGTCCTAAAAAAGTCTGCGCTCGAACAAGGAGAAACATGGTTAGAGAAGCGACGTAAAGCCAACAGTGACACTGAAAGAGCTGCAGACTTCAATAGTAGCAATTGGAGTTACTGTACACATCTCGACAATATCACGTACTTTCCACACAAAAAAAGGCTTGTATGGTAGGGGTGGCATAAAATAAACCAATACTGACGAAGATGCATCTTAGATCGCGAATAGACTATGCCCGTAAACATTTCAATAACCATATAACAATATGGCAGAAAGTTCTATGGTCAAATAAGACCATATAAGACCAAATAAGGAGTTTGTAACAGGAGGAAATCTCGGAGTTAAGAAAACATTGAGTCACCTACGACACAGATTTTACTGGAAAGGTATGAGACAAGATGTGGAAGAATGTTGCAGAACATGCAGCACATGTTGTGACTAAAAGGGGACCCAAGCATAAGGGACGTGCTCCAATGAAGTTATATCAAGTTTGTGCACCAATGGAAAGAGTAGCCGTCGACATTGCATCTCACACCTATCCAGTAAAATCTGTGTCGTAGGTGACTCAATGTTTTCTTAACTCCGAGATGTCCTCCTGTTACAGTATCATGGGATTGACGCAGCACAACTTCTCGTAACTTTCTCGGTATAACCGTTTGCCAGGTCGTCACTTTCCCATCAATCTCCGGAGAAGAATACCATCTTCAAGCCTCAACTGGTCCCATTGTGCCCAATAGTTCTTTGTCACAGGGCTTAGACTAGACACCTTCTCCCAAGCAGGGCGCAAAACACTTGCTTTTAGGAAATCAATTATTGGCTTCAAATCTTGGTCTTTCTCCTGTTCTACTTTGATGTCTATATTTGGTTCCACTTCACCATCATCAACTCTTTCAGTTGGCTTAACTTCAGCTTGATGGCACCTGGTTAGTTCAACTTCTCTTTTAACAGTTACCGGAACTTGGCCTTTGTTGTTCCCAAACGTCATTTTATCAAAATCAATTACAAACTTCCTCGGTAGTAGATAGTCCAATCCTAATATGCATTCGTCTTCCATGTCAGCTAAGTATACTTTCTGTCTGTCTTTTATGCCCATGAGCTCAATAGTCACCCACACTGGTCCCCACAATCTTGTAGAATGTCCTGTCACACCATAAAGCTTCTGTATGGCTTCTAGTACTCCTTTGTGATCTAACACCTTGATGCTCACAAGGGTTTGCTGTGACACAGAGTCTATGACAAAGTTGCACCTTTGGCCATCTAGCTTTCCTGTCACATAGACAGTGTGTGTGCTTGGCATTTTACTCCTAGCTGTTGGGACTTTCATGATGGGGGTTGGTGGGCGTCGCTCAACACCAATCACTACTGGTCTCCGTGAGGCTGACCTGTTGGTAATATTTCTCCTACACTGGCTCCTCAAATGTCTATGCCTTCCACAGTTCCAACAACCTTTCTTCGTAGCAGCCTTTACTGCTGTATCGTCTCCCCTGTGTT